TTTTCTTTCTTTCTATTGCGGTCAGCTGTATGGAGATCAAGAACGCTGGATTGAGCCCAAAAAAGTGGCACCGTGCTTGGTATCACATCTTCGAACAGTGAGAGTTACTTACTTTAGCTTTACTGCTCTACAGTTTAAAATGGTAAGATACATTATACGGAATGCTAAAGTCTTGAGGAGGATGGAAATACAAACCCGACACTGTACCCTGAAGGAAAAACATGAAGCGATCAAGAAAATATCATTATCTGAGAGAGGATCTGAGGCATGTCAAGTTGTCATCCTTTGAAAATTGTCGTAGGTGTGGATTATTCAGCTTTCTAATTTTGATCTGAAGTTGATTGTTGTCATATTATTGAACAACCTCGTATATGTGGCTTGCTGTCTTATGTAATGCATCTCCAGTTAGTTCTATAAGTTCGTTGTCCTCTGTTTGATTTCATTCGGATGGCCTGTGAAGGCACTCTTACTATATTACCTTCCACTCGAAAGCTAGTTTCATATTTTCCGCCTCACTCTTGATCTCATTACAGGTCGAAACTCGAAAGAGATTATGATGTTGCATAACATTGTTTTGTGGTGTTGTATAACATCTTTTTATGGTGTTGCTGCACGAACATTTTCAGTTAGCACTTTGTAATATTTTTAAGGCAAATTGTGCACACTTTTTGTGGAGAATGAGCGCTCATAAGCGAACAATTTGCACTAAGTTCTACTCAACGTAGATCAGATAAAATTTAATATTAATTTATTTCTATTCAATACAATTTCATAACTTCGATTTGTTAATTTTAATAATTTAGTTAGGCTCAATACAATGTACTAACTTCTTATTCCACTTTTTTCGTTGCACACTCGTTTGTTTCTTAAACTTACCTTGTTTGAGAAATATCAATTTAGCTTCACAACATTAGTCAATAACTACTATGGCTAACTGAGTAAACAAAATCTTCTTTTACTTATTATCAAAGAATTCATCACTGTTTTACATACAAAAAGAATCATATAATTCCATGCCAAAACAAACACAACAGCAACATGTCTTGAATAACTACTATGGCTAACTGAGAAAAAGGATACTCCTTTTACTTATTATGAAAGAACTAATCACCATTTTACATACAAAAAGAATCATAAACTTAATAAAAATTCCATGCTAAAACAAATACAACAGCAGCATGGGGAAAAGGACCATCAAGTGGTTACTAATCTAGAAATATATATACGAGGACGAATCCATTCTGTTGGTAGTGTCTCTCGACAGTATGGATCGAGCTTCCGTGATTGATCGTGGGGGCTCCAAATCCTTTTCTTGCAGTGCATTCCCCAGCAGCCTCTGCATCTCGGATGCATATATGTCATCCAAAACCTGAAAATAAATAAGCATATCAAACAGTCCAAATTAGTGTTTAATCACCTCAACAATAGTAAAATATCTCAAACATTTTATACACAAATCAACTGCTTTCGTTAGTTTAGTTGTATTTATATTAAAACATAATTTAAGAGTACTCTCTCACCCCCAGGGCGTGATACGATCCTGTATACCAAACCCGATTCTCCTTTCTCCCTTCCAGAAACTTCAGTACAATCTATCAAGAGGAAAGTGAATCAAATTAAGAACCAAATTTCAGGAAGATACGCGCGTTTGTATATAAATGTGTCTGAAAGGTGTTTTTATGAGTTTACTTGTCCCATTTTGTCCCAGAAAGCACGAGAGACGGCCACAAAAATTTGGCTCGTGAAGGTTTCATGCAAGTTTGAGATGGAATCAGAGAGCTGTGTGCTCAGCAATTGCATCCTCTCTCGAATCTGAGCCTCCCCATCGGCTTCTTTTGTGTCCTCCAAGATTCTCTGAAGACGGGTGCTCCTGTTATCTTGCATCTGCAAAAATCCACAGATAAAATTGCGCGTAACACAGCTTTTCAATTTTTCAGAGAGAAAACTTAATTTTCATCACACCACATATTGTGATTCCACAAATTTGAGTTTTTAATTATTATAAATTTTTGCTGCTGATAATTGGATGGTTGTTTGGGTTTTAGAAATAAAGGCTTACATTGCTGGTCAGCTTGACAACAATAGCTTGAATGTAGTTTTTGTACTTTGTTCGTAGAAGGACAGTGACAGCATTCATCTGCTCCCCAAAATTGGATTTATTATCTCCATTTTCAGGTAGATAGGAAGCCCAGGATTTGAGTTTTCCCTCTATCCTATGGTGCAGTACGTCCAGGATTCTTTTCAAGGTATTCAGGAAAATACCCAGCTGCAAAAACACGGAAGGAGGATATAGAAGAATTAACAACTCGCACTACTGAATGTTTGGAGGGCATTTAAGATAGTGGAGAATAAGAAGAAAATAAAGAACCTCAATGTATAATTTTCTAGTGACTTTCCCTTGATATAATTACAGATAACATATAGGCATCCATAACACCCAAAAAAAAAAAAAAAAAAAAAAAAAAGAAAAAGATAAGCAATTGCTTGTTACGGGACATACGCGTCTTGGTGAAACAAGGACGACACATCTGACTGATATTCAGTAAGTATAAAACAAATCGAAGATATTGCATCAATTTGGCATTCATCAACTTGTTTCAGGCAAAAGTGTTGCTCACCTGGCTAGGAATAGAATAATACGCTGTTGATTGCCTCCTGGCCAACTTCTGAACCTGCATGCCTATTTTTTTTGGAATGCTATCTCTTAGAGGGGCTAAAATGTCATGGTATTGCCTCTCTAGTGCTTTAATTATCGCCCTTTCCACATTTGCAGCCGCCTTTTTGAATCAAGATTCCATAAAAAGAAGAACAATAAGTAAATTGAGGCCAGTATTGTAATAAAACAATCATTTCGAGCCAATAAAAATAGTACATTATGTTCTAGCACATCATAAGCTAATATAAATGTGCTTTGCGAATTGCCAAAGTTGTTTGATTAATGTTCTAAAGCCCTTCAATAGTTATGGTGTATGGTAAAAGCTAAAACTCACGTTCTCCAAAACCAATGTGTATTGAGGCCACCGATTGATCACGACTTCATATTCAATGAGCATCCTCGACATCTTTTCGAACATTTCCTCTGCAAAGGGAGAGGTTGAATATTTTGTGCACACCCCAGCCCAAGGTACCTGCATGGAGAAATTCACAAATGCAATAATCAAAACTATTTAACAAGTAAAACCAAAGAACTAATTACATATTCTTGCATGGAAATGTCCTTTTCATTTAACCTTTTGGTTGAGAAAGAAATTAATACTACAGAAGTACCTTTTCCGCTTTGCAAAGATCAAGCAAGGTGAGTTGTAGATCTTGTATCCAAACCATGATGTAACCGTTGAACAAGTCTCTGGAGTCAACACCACCTTGGACAGGGCTGATCACACAAATTTGAGCAAGTATAAAAGGAAAAAAAAAGAATAAACCAAAAGAAAAAAAAAAAAAACAGTAAGAATGGCAATCAAATTACTCCCAATGCTTTCTTTGGGCAGGGCAAGGCAAGACAAAAGTAGGAAGAAGTATGTACCTGATATTCCACGATTCGAGACTCCTTTCGAAGTCGGACAATGCTACCACAAGTTCATTCACATGTTGCATGGGACTTGACGGCGGCCATGAGGCCAAGAAGCTTCCAAGTCTCTTGTTCAATTCTCTGCTGTATACTGTTGATGTGATGGTAGACAAGTCTATTGAACTGAAAACACAGAACACAGTCTAGATTACCATACTCCTCATCATCACATTTTTTTCACATTATACGAATTACAAGTAGAGTGCAATGCAAAATTTACTTTAGTTCTATGAAGTAATGAAGTTTGTAGGTACCTGGGGAATATATGCTGATTATGGATCTTTATGTCAATTTGAATTTCATTTCTTATGTTGATGGCCAGATTCTTCATCTTCATGTAGGCTTTAGATATCGTATCTGCATCCATAACAAAACACTCGGAGTTGCTTGACACAAGCTCGTCTGTCTCCATCATGTGCTTTCTACATCTTTTTATTGCTGCCGCCTATAAATTTACAATCTTATTTCAAAACCACAAAACACAGCAATTACAGAAAATTTGTATGCTATTTCAACAAACAAAATAAGAGAAGTTTTTAACTCTTTCCTGGTACTATACATAGAATATATATTTCTCTGAATAAATTATTACACAGGAATACCAAAAGCAAGTTTTATTTCTTCAAGCATCTCTTGACCTATTGATAATGCCATGGTGATGATTAATAATGTGTAGCATTTGATGGGACTTACCTCAAGATAGTTTCTCAGCACAGTCTGAGCATCTTGAGCTAGTATGTCATGTAGAAATGTGTATATTTGCACGGCCGGAGCTAGTGCTGGTGCTGCAGTTTCTGATATTGGAGCCGACATATCTGCCAAACCGGTTGGAGATTTTTCATCAAGCAACTTGTAGTTCTGAAACACCTCTGCCAAAAGCCTTTCGATTTGATTCTCACAATCTAACAGAATGCTTTTCTGTAAATCCGAAAATTCAAAAAAGTGAGACACGTGTGAGCAACATAAAGTAATCTGCAGACAAATGAAGTTCGTGAATCAAAACAGCATGCTTTTCAGTAGGGTTTTAAAGCCTGATACATACTCAACATAATGAGCTCATACTAGACACTTACTTCTTGCCTTGTTAAATTTCTCTCACTTCTGGCCTTGAGGACCGGGACAAGCAACTCATGCAAAAGTTCTAAGCAATCTTTAGTTGGAGTGGCAACATTCAAGACATACGAAAGGTATCTGCATGAAATCCAACGGAAACATTTAAAATCACTTGACACTACAAAACAGAACACTCAATTCCATGTACTTGCACATACCTCAATTTTGTGTAAGAGTCGGAAACTCCATAGTAGTCAGCAAATTCTGACAAGATCCATTTCCAGGGCCCCTCAATGCGTAAATTCCGCCCATGAAACTGTATCGCCCTCATGGCAGCCTCCAGTAGAAGATCGTATGCTAGGGTCTCCACTATTGATCCACTCTATCACATCACAGAGGAAATATTTTACATATGAGATGATCGTGCTCAATGAATTTATCTACCTTAATTTTCAACACCATATAACAAGATCATGAACTCAGGCTGATGAATAAATATAGTTATCTCGATAACCTAAGAACCACAGTTCTGCAGCTTGTGAAGAGTTTGAAATAGAGACATCAGTAAGTATTCACACGTTTCTTATTGAAAAATAAACTGATACGACTGACTTTTCATCAAACGCTCGACTTTTCATCAAAAGCTTGACTTTTGCATCATTGCATGCATGAATACATAGCAGCAGGAAGCTTCATGAAGATTCAGAATTGTGTTTTTTCCAACATGATTGTCCATCACCAATTACTATATTTTCACGACAATTGCATAAATTATCTATGTGATAAGCAGCACAGTAATTCATAGGGAACAAATCTTATGTGACTGTTCTGATTTGTAAATACAGGAAAGTAAATATAGTACAAGTGTTGAAATAGTGAATTATACCTTCATAGGCATTGTCTCATCAGTTGTAAAGGAACTTCCAATTGAGAGCAATACTTTGCCGACACATTCATTATCGATGTGATAGATGGGCCACCAGCGCACTCTATCATTCTGCATATGTTCACATGAGATTATTGAGGCAAGCAAACACACAAAAAATGAAGAATTCAGTTAATCAAATATCATTTGCTTCATAAAGTGCACTTACTGGATTCTCTGTCAGGGAAGAAACTGGAATTGTGGCACAACCTTGAACATTTTTCATAGTGTCCAGAACTTCAAGTAACAGAGTATCTCCTTGAGTCTCAGGAAAACTGAAACCAAATTTCAGTGATCAATTTATCAATAATAGATAAGATACATAATATATATTGTGTTAAGTGTGGATCTGATTTTTGTACATAGAGCAATATTTAGACTAATGCAACAAGTGTCCATTAGTATACAATGTTGTGTGAGTTTTATATTAAACAAAATTATTTTTTTCATGCGTCAGCACTCAGCGTGTAACATAACATGGTTTTATCCACAAAGTTGTGGGTTGAAAATTAGATGCGAACACAAAAGGATGGTGAGCACATGCAGATATCTTGCAAAGTTAGTGTGCTCTTCTGCAAGTCATGTGCAATGAGATTTCAGATACATACAGAAAACACTTTACTTTTACAGTGATTGTGGGTCAAATTCAGAAATTATGTTATAAGTTAAGCAGCAATATAGATGATTAAACCATAGACAGAAAAAAATATTCAATATTAATCTAGCGTTGGTCTTCGAGTCTACAATAGTTTCAGATCATTAAAGAATGAAGTATTAATTGGTTTTCAACTTACAAGTCATGATATGCACCAGTTCCTGGTCGCATCATGATGGCAGATGATGGTTCCCCTTCATTATCTTCCATTGAACTTCTAAGATTAATCATGCATGAAAGTGATTCTGCAGATAATTGATCATTCTTAGTAAGCTAATTGTGTGCATGTTGGTAAAAAACAAATCAATCGACTTTCATAATAAAAGAAGATTGTTTATGAAGCCTAAACATTATTTCATGTAAGATACTGGAAAAAATTGTTTCTTCTGGTTTTCTGTGGGACGGGCAATAATTGTAAAGATTTGTTCCGTGATGATTGTCAGCGAATAACAAACCTTCACATGTCAAAGATAATGTACTGTGTTTGAGAAAACTGATTCTGCGTCTCACTCTAGATGAAACATGTCGGACATAGTCTGCCCCAGCTTGTAGGTAAATAGCTCCTCTCATGGAGTTTGTGTTCTTAAGCTTTCTTCTCTGAGGTACTATACGGAGCTTTTTCACTGACAAATGAAAATAATAATAAAAAATGAATGGTTTGGTGTTAGGTCTTAACAATTTGCATATTGCCATTTTTACGTCACAAAAACCGAATTCTCATGAGTTCAACCTTAATAAATAGTATGAGAAAGGGCATATAATACTAAAAACCTGCTTTATGGAAGAATGCTCATTATACCTTATTATAGTTAATTGTAGATCCAGAAAAATGATTTAAGAAACAGGTTAATATAAATATGTTGATGTCATATTACATCATGTCATCAGTCATACATGCATATGCAAAAATCCAAAGTAGAAGCTAAACAAGTAATCGCAAGCAAGTCAATGGTACACCACATAAAAAATTTGTAGATGACCAAGGGACAAAGGAACAACCTTCCACGCGAATCTTTCCTACTGTCCTTTTCACTTTTGAAGCTGTTGCCGGTTCTAAGGTCTTATTATCTCTTTCAGTTTGTTGCACACCTCTGGGCTGAAGCAAAAGTTTGTGTAACCTAAAGAGGAAGCAAAAGAGTTCATAGACAGATTCCACTTATGGATCCAAATCATATTATAAACAATAAATTGGATATGGAAGACATACCCAAAAGCATTACGAAGAAGATGACACTCATCCCGTAAAAATTCAGGCGCCTCTGCACAACCTCTTGCCCATGCATTTAGACATAAACGAATACAGGCATCATAGGCAATAAGAGCTTGCCATGCATTCTGACCACTGTCATCAGAGAGAGAATGGAATTTCAGAAGCTTCGGAGAAATAAGACACATACTTTATGGATTAAGACTAGCTTGAAAATGTTCTCTGAGGCTATCGAGTTCCTTGCAGTCAGAAAACTAGACATGTTCAGACAATTTCCAGGTTGATTCCTATTGCAATTAACTACTTTGAGTAACTTGATTGTTGAGTTGCAGTAACAATGCCCGTAAAATTTTGCAAAGCGTTTTGTGGTCTTACAGACTATATAACATGCATTGTAGACGGTAATTGCTGACCAGGTACAGTGCTACATGATTAAGGTCACCTATTGATAGAAAGACAATACTAGATGATACTTTGGAACTAATTTAAAAGACAGCTTCTTTTATAGGCGAAACTCCCATAAACCCCACTCCCATCCCCAGATTAAAAAAAAAAAAAAGAGTAAAGGTAAAATAGAAGGAAAGGATCAGCAAAATCTTGGGAAAGTTGGATAATAATACATGAACAACAAGGATGCCAGAAAGCATAGAAAGTATGACCTGGCAAGGTAATTCGGTACGTGACTAACAGAATTGGCGCTACACACAGGTGCAGGATGATCTTCTCTTCCCACAAGCGTTTCCTCGTCAATCCTACAAAGAATGTCTGGCAGGTGAAGGGACATGCACTAAGCGTAACCAATTCCAATAGCTAGTTTTTCTATATCATACCTTTTACCAACTTTTGCTTTAGCTTCCAAATGTTTTTTACTTTGCTCTGAAAAAACATCAGCCCCAGGGAAAACCTTCTCTAACGCTTTGTGTTGACCATTGATACTTTTCTCATCACCTATCCCAATGTCATGTACATTCCCAATATCCATGAAAGGTGGTGCACTTGGAGTCCCGAGGTCTGCAGTTTCGCCCAACATGCCAATGGGAGTACCCTGCATCGATTTGAAAATTCTTGAACTTATTCAACAAAGAACTTCCAGGAATAGTACCTAACTTTCAAGATATAATACATCATAATTATCGAAAATAACAAGTTGATTCTTACATATGCACTTCGAGGTTGCATTTTCTCTTTAAATCTTCCTGAAACTGCACTGCCCAGCCCATCGCTGAATCTTCTTAAACTTGGGGGAACTTCAATCCTAAGATCCTCTTTTAACAGCCCTCTATTTATTGTGGACCCATGTTTTCTCTCATTCAGTTTTTTTGTTGGGTTGACGTTAAACACATCTTCAAACCCCTTTATGACCGGCAGCATATCTACTACCTCATCATCCGATTGGTTACCATACAATTCATTTGGGGCCGAGCCCACACTCTCACTCTCATCCAAATTATCGTCGTTGTAATAGTCCGATTCTTCCTCATTGCTATCGGCACTTAGAGTGACAGTGTTGAGGGGTTTCAGTAGACCAGAGTGAAATTTCAACGGAGGCAGAACATGGGAAGATGAGTAATTGCTCGAGCCATATGCTAATGGCGATCTAGGAAGAGGGTATGTCATATCTAGCTTCTCGGTTAATGGCGTTCGAGTTTGAAGCTGTTCTGCATCTGCTCCCTGCAAGTGAATCAATCAAATTTACAACATTTGTGCCCCAATATCAAACTCAGCATAAAAAATATTCAGAAATTGTATCATTATGCGCTCGAAACGACAAAAAAAAAAGTGCTTTTGCTCCGAAAAAGATTGGACCCCCAACACAGCCAAAAACGCCCTTTACAAATACATCACCAGAAATGGAAGAGAAACAAGAAAATTTGCAAAGAAAATTTGATGGGTCATGAAAAAACTACCTTCTTGATCCAATTGATGGCGCTCTCGTCCAGCCCTTCAGTAAACATGGCCGCAGGGTTTTGTCCAACCAAGAAACCAGCTAGTTAGGGCGGAGATATTTTAGCCTAGAGTTCTTGCAAAAAGCTTCGCTGTTTGGAGCTTGTCTTACTGTGGGTGTGATTGATATGGGGATGTGAAGGGAAAGAAACTGGCAACAGAAATTTGAGAGCGTCAGATGAAGTTGTTGATACAGCGAATACACAACGGCTAGTTTGAAACTGGAGGGGTTGCTTTGTGCAATTACTTAATTCAGGAGGGGCCCGTTTTCAAAGTGTCGCCGTGGCCTGTATGAAAATTAGTTTGCTAACAAAAGGTGATTCTTTTGATTGTTAATGGGGCATCCTTGCCAAGGTTCTGAAAACCGATTAGTCATCAAATCCGTGAAGCTATTGGTTCACTGGTCGGACTAGTGGTCGAATTGGTTTAATTAATATATTTTTATATTTATTATATAGGTATAATATAAAATTGTAATTATTTTTATCATCAATTTTATAGTGTATACTGACAATTTTCTAAATAAAAATTCAATAATCAATATCCTACTTTTCTTTTCAGATTTAATTACGTAAAAAATAAAAAATTTAAAATCAATTTTGAACTTCAATTTTGATAAAAATTTAAAAATTATGAGCTTCACGATTGTGGATTGGGTGGAGCGCGCGGCATGTAGTGTGTCCTCGCCTGTCGCACGGACGCGGTCGAAGTCAAACAAGCTCCTCCCCGACGAGGACCGCCAACATAGCCCACAACAAGCCCGATGAGCCCGACGTGCAGAATGCTCGTTCTTGTCATAGGTGTCGATTGCCGCCGCGAATGGGAGACGGTGGTGGAGGCCTCCTGGGCGTAGCCGAGCACGTTTTTCGACGTCCATGGAGAAGGCGAAGGAGGGCCCAATTGGGGCAGGGCAATGTATGTCGTTGTTGGAGATGTCGAGCAACCAAAAGCCAACCAAGAAAATGACAGCGACAACTGGGCCCAGATACGTAGGCAGCGAAGGTGATGAGGAGGGCAATGACGGAGAGAGGTGGCGCCGGAATAATGGTTGGTTGGTGACGATTTGGTTTTATTTTTTCTTTTTCTGTTTGAAAAATATATGAAATCTATAAAATGCCCTTGAAAATTAAATTATTTTGGCCAAAACCACTTATATTCTGATTTAGGGGGCAAAATGAAAAAAACGTTGAAATTACGGTTGTTTGTAAAAAAAAAAAATAGTTGATATGGTAAGCTGCATAAATCGTGATAGTCTAGATGAGAAAAAATAAATTACCCAAAAATCATTCTGCGATTGTGATACGGTATTATGCGATTATCATTGGCCTAATAGTCGAAGGTTCATTCGCATAACAAGAATAGTTGTTTAAAATAAATTGGGTCTGCGACTACCCGACGATTGCCCCACGATTAACCGAACTATCCATGGGATCTGTGCATAATCATCGCCTAATCATCAGCATAATACTTTCACACTTTCTGAGGTGAAAAAAATTAACTTATTAATATGCGTTGTACAAAACTTAATACATCTTCAGAACGGGTTGAAAATAACTACTTTCACTTGAGATAAAAATAGTATAAATATATCTTTTGTAAATTAATTTATTTCGCTTTATCAATTGATCCCGTGACCCAACAGTTTGACCGGTGATTCGGATGCCAACCCATGTCACTTTTAAAACATTGTGTTTACCTATGGCCTCTTTCGTGCCGGCTCTAACGTACCTAAACATAAAGCCTGCAGAGGTAATGGAAAACAAGAAAAAAATGGGCCATCTATCATAAACACGAATATATCCCCACATTAAATATATTTTCAGTTTTTACTCTAAAAATGGTGGTGAGTGAGAAGCAGACAATCCCACCAAACTACCTCCCGTTTAAAACTTTACACCAACGAAACAAAAGCCCTCCCTCAGCACCACTCCACGTATACCCTCTGCATGCATCAGTCCCCACCAAACGCATTTACTCACACATGCAGAAAAAACCAAGAAAAAACAGAGAGAGGGACAGAGTAAAAGAGAAACGTTTTTCTTTCTATGTTTATGCAGTACACCATTAACTCTAATCTCTTGATTGTTTTGTGCTCTATCTCAATACTACTGAATGACTAATGCAAGGGAAGAACCTTTGAATCATGACTGTTTTGTCGAGCGGGAGGTTTCTGATTCGGCTATCTATCCGAAGCCACGGCTTCGTTGGACGCCCGATCTTCACGACCAGTTTGTTAAGGCTGTGAACGATCTTGGTGGAGCCGATAGTAATAATCTTCTTCTCTATATCCCTTTTGTTGAGTATTAGTTCCCATGTTGATTGGAAAAACAATGAGAGAATATATGGATATACATATGCATGCAGATTGCAAGAGCCTTGTTTAATGATAATTAGAGGGTTGATAAGTGAATGAATTGTATTTCATTTTTATTTCAAATTGTTTGCATTATGTTATAACTGATTTTTTTTCGTTTTTGGTTCATTTCGGTTGCAGAGGCGACACCTAAAGCAATTTTGAATCTGATGCGCGTACAAGGGCTAACTCTTTTCCACCTGAAGAGTCATTTGCAGGTTCGGTTGCTCGTTGCATGTACTTGAATAAACCATATTATTCTGTCTAGAAAGAAACCGTCATCTGGTAATTCTGTTATCTTCACAATTTTTCTTACTTTGAACAGAAATTCAGGCTTGGCAAGACAGCAAGAAGATTGTGGAGACAGCATTATGTGCCAACTATATACTGTATGTGTTGTAATGAGAAGGCTGCAAATAATGAGAAGCATTATAAGCCTATAACAATTGTTAAAAATTTTCGTATATATTCATTTCAGTCATTCCCTTAAATCGTGCATATTAGTATTATTTTAAAGAGAATGTCATACGTTTAGAGCGTATGACTTCTTGATTCATTAGTGACATCAAAAACAAAAAAAAAAAAAAAAGAATTCAGTTAATTTTCGCCAAATGGTTCATTAGTTTCATTTTCTTGAAATCAATAATCAGCGGTTTTACTCGATCTGCCTAAATTTTTGGGTCTCAGACTGCAAGGAGGAGGAAAGAACTCCACCTATTACAAGGGAAGATCATCAAGAATCTTCAATCTTAACACCGTTGGGTAGGAACGGGTAAGCCTTGGCTAGTTGGCTTCACCCTTTGCCTTACACGTATACTTCTCAAATATGGTTATGCTTTTACTTTGATATAGATAGTAATGCATAGTTGTTGTATACTTGTATTCTGTTCTCATTATTTTTTCAGATTCTCACATGAATGTAGAATCAAGACACAGAGTGCTGATACATATAGAAACGCGTATCCACTAGTCGAGGTAAGATTATTGTGTGAAACATTTTTCTTTTCTGCAGATTTAAGTTGGAGTCGTAAAATAACCGAAAGACTAAATTTTTACCACGTTTAATTAATCCCCTCCACATATCTAATTTTTTCTTGTGAATTAATCCCAATGCTTTGAAGCCTCAAGGAGTTAAGAACATGGTACCGAAAGAAACAACTTCTTCGACTGTAAAACTAAATCAACAGACAGTTAAATCAGCAGCAATTGCCGTAAAATTGGAGACAAAACAACTTTCACCAGGACCTGCTCTGCTGCCACTCTTTCCACCATTCCCTGCATTTGAAATGATTGATACCAATTCATATGCCCCCGAATGGTCCGAATTACTTGATGGAGGAGAGAAAAAACCGGTTGTTCCTCCTCTCCCTGCTGACAATGGATCATCCATGGATGATTATCTGAATTGCCTTGGATCACGTCATGCAAGTTTGATGTTCGGGAGTTTTTTCGATGACGTGGAGAGCTTCTCCAAGGCGAACGAGAATGATCTTGCTATGGATCATGATGGTGTTGTGGGGCCCATTTAAACTAGTGACTTTTGTAGTGGAGTTGTCATGAGTGGTAGAAAGTAGCGAAAACCATGTTCAACACTCTTTCCTAAGTTTATGAATCGCTTCGTGTATGTAATTATGTGTACTAGTGTGGTAAGAAGTACCTAACTTTTGTCTCCTTGGGGCAACTACCCGAAGAATCTTAAGACGAGAAAGGGTAGTTAAAAACAGAACGTGAACACTTGCTATTCCGACGTTTATTCGTAGCATCCTTCAGTTAGTCTTCTCATTTCAACGTTGTCTTGCAAAAATTATCAAATTAAAAGTCTTTGGATTTCCTCCATTTGAAATTTGATGTCTCTTGTTATGTTTTCACTGTGATTTTAGAATGTATGGGCTGCAGATTTGGCTGACTGCCCAATGTGATGAATGAATGTTACAAAATATGATGCATTACAATATAGGACTGAGTCACAAAATATTATCACTACACAAGGTTTTAGTGAAACTTGAGACTGGTCAAAATGTTGTTGTTGACCGGGTCGGCCAAATGATCCAAAAGGTTCTGGAACGGGCCGACACCCGTCACCAAGCCCTGAATAAAGTAGCCCAAGATTGCCAGCATGGCCAGCCTCCCATTCTTGACCTCCTTCAGCTTCAACTCCTTCATTGATTTCTCGTCTTTTCCGAAACCCAACGGGTTGAAGAACGGGCCTCCAGGGTAGGCCGGGTCTCCCGACCCACCCAAGCCCTTCTCAAGGCCCAAGAAGTATTGCTTCCCCATGGAGCCGGGCTTGGCCCAATCCTGATACCTCCGGTGCTCGGCGAAGCCCATGAGTGCCATCTCGAGGACGAACAGGGTGTAGGAGTCGGCCCAGTAGTTGTACGTGCCAGCTGGCGGGATGACCCCGGTCTGGAACCACGGGAGGGCTGTCTCGGGCGGGATGAGGCCCGCCTTCCCGAGGATCTCGGGGGCGATGGCCCCCGCGGCCCCCAGCATGGCGAAGCGCCCATTGATGATCTCGCCGTAGGCCAGCCATTTGGGCTCGATGAACCCACCCGTTCCTTCCGGGTCCGACAGGCCCAACGGGTCGAATCCGTAGTCACCCGGAAGGCTGAAAAAGAAAAAAAAAAATAAACTTTCTAGCTGGAGAATCACTTTTTGTGTGTGTGTGTGTGTGTGTGTGTGTGTGGTGTCTACCAAGTTCTTGATTTGTTTTAGTTACCTTCCATCCAAATAGGATAAACTCTGCTTGGATGCAAACCACAGAGGCCTGTCTGCACCTTGCTGTGTGATGAATAAACATTAGACACAAGCCTCTGAATGTTTAAAATTAAATCCTCATCCTTTATCAGAACCACAATCAAAGGATTCTGAATATTAATGAAGGGCTCAAATAAAATTACCTTGACAGGTGGAGTAGAAGCAGCTTTGACAACAAATGAAACTCTTCTTGAAGAAGAATGTAATGGCCTGCCACTGAGAACTTGTCTGGTGGCCACCTCTGCGGATGAACAGAGGGACGACGATGAGACCAATGCTTGTGTAGCCATTTTTGCTTTAATTTTGCTTAAGATTCTGCAGTGTAAACTAAAAGGAGAATTAGTAACAGATATATTATTGCACTAGGTCAGGTGGAGTAAAGGGCTACCAGGAATTTTTGTGGGGTTGGTTGAGAGTTTCGGATTTGGTGATTGTGGCGCAGAGCAGTACTGCTGAAGCAATCAGATAAAACTGTGATCTTGGTGTCAAATAGAAAGGGAACACGTGGCATGGTTTAATGGATAATATTAGATGCTGTTGTTGGCCTTGGCCCTTGGGGAAGCTAGAATCTAGATATTGATACTCCCTTGGTTAATTATAATATGATGATTTTCTTTACGACTATTGTCCTCTGGTTGACACTCCTTTTGTACTCTTTTTTAGTATTTTAGTTCTTAGATCTGATCCCCTGCCCACGGTGGGCAGTGCCCACCAAAAAATTTTACATGAAAAACGTATTTTGAGAATACGTTTTTCAATTAAATTAATTGAAAAACGTATTCTCAAAATACGTTTTTCATGTAAAACTTTTTGGTGGGCACTGCCCACCGTGGGCAGGTGAGCAAAACCATTTTAGTTCTAATATAATTATCGTTTGAAAAAAAAAAAAAAAAAAAAAAATGCAGAGTTCAACACCAAGGCAATTGCTGTGTGGCAAAATGCGTAGGTATATGATGAGTCTTTGTAAAACCTTGTCTATTTCAAATTCTATGCTTAAAATATCATCTTCATACTCAGAACTCAGCTTTTTTACAACTACTTGAGTACATATATAGATTGTCAATTCGATTTAAATAAGGCGATATTGCTCTGCACATTATCTTTAGCAGAAGTTCAATTACAAATTTCAATTAAACTTGGTAACACAATCAGAGCGGTAGATTTGACATTTGATGTCATTTGAACTAGTTACAATGATGTTTAAAATGGAGACACAGGTATCCAAGGGAGCCTCGTAATAAAGGTTGTAGTATTCAACAGTCTGAATACACACCTCAAAGAAACTATTGACCTTTCACACAGCTTCGGATTCAACATCTTGCAACCCACAAACCATGTTAGCAGGCACAGCTATATCAATCATCTTTGGATATGATAAGTTCAGATCTGCAAAATTCAAAATTAAACTCAAGTCTTAGTGGAATATGCACCCATGCATGATGTTACGAGAATGTAGTATTTGAACGAAAGTCACTTACTTGCCATGATGTTTTTGAATGTTTCCTGCAAAAATACCACGCATTAGCTTTTAACACAATTGGGAGAGCCTCGATGTTTAATCAACAGATCACACAATTTTGATTTGTGGAATAAAATTTTGCATAAAAGGTCTTTGGCTCGTAAAGAAGCTTGTTTGTCAAAAGACCGAGAGTTGGAAAGGATATCATTGTCAATGGAGCTGCCCAAACATGCTCCCAGTAAAATTAGTTACCTTACTAAACAACATGAATTTTTAATTAAACAAATACTAACACACATGTTACTTGTGTGTATTTTACTATTTTTATGATTTATTACTGAAAAATAAAGTCAGCAAAATAATGTGCAAATATATCCATTTCTGTTACAGTGATATTACCTCATCTTTTGTCAGGCGGGGATTATGTAGCATCTCCTCTCCAACAGTACTCACCTAAATACCCACACATGTAAGCAACTTCTACTGTTTATGCAATTAACGAAAAAACAACAAACTTCAGGAGTATACTTACAGAAAAGCCCTTGTAGTCGTGGGCTGGATATACAAATGTGTCCTTCGGCAATGTAAAGATCTGTTTTTCAACAAGTACTCCAGGAGAGTTGAGTGATGTGAAAGAATTGACATTCACATGCATATGTTATCTGCAGTCTTACCTGTGAATGAACTGACTTGTAAAGCTGCTCAGAACTCCCACCCTGAGAAAGGTTGGCCAAAGTTCAATATAAAAGATTAGAAATTAAGTGCAAAAATCATAAAAATATCTAGTAATTCGCGTAATTGCCCTGATGAGGGTAAGGATATATGTTTTACTGATTGCCGATGTTCTTAAGAGCTCAACTTTAAACCCGATGTTTTCAGCATGCAGAAATGGACGCTGTCCTTTTTCTATTTGTATTTCCTGTATTGTACAGTCCAAACTATGTAAAAACCCACATCAAGCTAAATCTTATGGTCCTGCAATGTTACTCTTTGAATTGTCCAAATTATGCCCAATAATACCCAAGTATTACACCGCACTCGGAGCATTTACTACTGCAATTTCCACCTTTCCAGTTCAAAAAGTGTTCAGTGGCCTTATCTTTCTTGTGTCATATTGTTAGAAAGAGTTGAGTTTCAACAGTGATTCTTATCTCGTTCCCTTCGGAACAAAATAGTCGTTTACTTGCAATCAAAACTTGGTTTGATTTTTCCTTGAGAGCAAAGATACCTGAAAATCGGTCCTCCCACAACCACGTATCAATAGAGCATCACCAGTAAAAGCTATCCGCGGTTGAGGTTGGTTAGGCCCGTCACCTGTGACATAGGTAACACAACCTTGTGTGTGACCTGGGGTTGCACGAACCTGCAAAAGATAAGAATTCAGAATATGAAATAAGGGACGGTGAAATAAGACATCATAATGTACAGTTAATGAGAATATACAAAATGCAAACAGCTTCAGTTGCTCACGTACGTAGGCTGAAGTGGCCAATATATTTCAACACTCTATACATTCGCCATTCACGTTGATTATGCCGCATGATATGGCAATAAGAATATCAATAAAAAGCATTTTACTGAGCCACCATTCTAGCCTTATTTTGTTTTTTGGAAAATTTTCAAAAACAAACCATTAATATAGCAGGAGTCTATTTCCATTACACTGGATGTGAAAACACGCAGGCTTAGGTCACTAAAGTAGAGAAGATGAAGGATTGACAATATATATATATATATATATATATATATATATATATATATATATGTGTGTGTGTGTGTGTATTAGTGTCAAGCGTATGTTTTTACAACATTAGGGGTACCACGGCATGTGGTTACCAGAATTCATAGGCATCTATTGCGAAAATTCTACTGTAGGCAATCAGAAAATTTAGAACGAGTTTCTTAGCATGGATACACCAATCAACTACTTGAAACACATATCCTAGTTCATCTCACATTATAGATACTCTTCACTAAACACAAATTCATATACCTCCAAAAAGAGATCCCCGAAACAGATCCTATCACCAGGTTCAACAAAAAGATCGGCTCTTGCATTGCTTGCTTTAGAAATGATAGATTTTACTCCAGGATACTTACTCTGCATGATAGAACCATAAAAACAGGATCATGGGAAGAATGCCACAGAATCTCTATATACCATTTAACAATACGCAGTGGTGCTCAGTGTTACACACTTACACTCAATAGATACTCAACGCGCAGACCTACACTACTTAGGCATTTGAAGGAGAAAATGATTGGATAAAGGAAAGGAGAGAATACGAACGACATAGCCACTGTACCCAAAGATAAAGTTAGGATGAACCTTAAGCAACCCAGTCCCAGTGACGTGATCTGCGTGTACATGAGTATTGATTGCATATATAAGCTTCAAGCCCAACTCTTTCACTAAGGAAAGATCTCTGTCCACTGTCTTGTCTACTGGATCAACCAACTGTGGGAGAATAAGGTCCCATTAGTACATAAACTCAAAACTCAAAGACAAATATGCGGTAAAATCCTCATTACACACCAACGCAGATCAGATTTAAACTATCCAAAGTGCATTAATGTTATGCAACACTATCATACTTCCTTTACTAGTACCTAATACAGTTTCCATAACTCGATGAAACAAATACCTCATGCACCCTTTCAATTCTAAAAGTATAAGTTTTTACCCAAACCGATTTTAAAATCGCCATATAATCCCGCATACGAAGAGCCAATATACGAAGAAAAATTGAAGGACCCACGTATATATAATTTGAAAAAATGGGAATGAATTCCTTTAGCATTCACTTAGAAAAGTCCATAGACCAAGCATCGCCAAAAGGTTCAGAAGGGAAGGAAAAGGAGTAAACAAAAACAGGCACACAGATTTTCATCATCACATCAACAGTATCTGTCAACTGGTCCAGCATTCAACTAATAGAGAATCAAAAGAGGTAACTACAGCAATTTAGCAAGAGATGAACAGATCAATATCCATTCTAGCACAAAACAACTCCTTAAACAAAATAATTAAATTATCAAAAAGGTCAAAATTTTCAACTGTTCTGAACAATCTGAAAGGCAATAACTAAACCAACCCCACCAGCCCATCACCCTCTTCGAATCCCTAAAATCAAGCACACACAACCCATGCAGGGGACTCTAAACACAAATTCAAAATCATCCAATTATCCCGAAAATTCAAATTAAACAACAACAGGAAGAAACACGTCTGAGAAGAGGAGACAGATTGAACCAGAGCAGGCTTATCAGGGTGAGAAGCATCGGCGAGAAGGTAAGTGTAGGTAGACGAGTCCTTCTCAAAAAGCTGTCGGAAAAGCAGCTTGGACGGTGAGGAACCGGAAGACGTCGTATACCCCATCCGCGATCGGAGCTTTGTGCTGAATGTGAATTGGTGTGGAACGAAAGCCTTGTTCTTGGGAGAGGAAAAGGATGCTGAAATTTGCAAGAATCGGAATTTTGAGAGCATTTTTCTGTAAGAAGGATTTGAATATACCAACTCTGGTCGAGCCGTCGAGGATGGCAATTATTCAGTATGGTGTACCAACTGGCCAATGTCATTCGAGTTGTTTTCTTTGATGTAACTAGTGTGTACCCGTGCGATGCACGGTAACAATATTACATTAACAATATTATAAATATACCTCGTTTGAGTCATTCAATGACGGAAGGGGAAACTACTATTGATCCTATTTAAAAAGAGGAAGAAAACAATAATGATTATATATTAAAGTGTCGGGGTCAGACAATGTAAAATTATTTTGTATAAGAGAATATAAATTTTACATTATTTTGGATAGTAGAATATAAAATTTGTATGTTTAATATTAAAAATACCTAAAATATTATATTAGTATATGTAAAATATTCAAAATATTCTATATTATTTTTAAAAGATATGAAGTCACCTACAACTTTTCTAAACAATTTTAGAAAGAAAACTTATCTAAAAACATTTGAATTTAATATTATGAAAAAAAACATCTAGACTATTTTGTAAAAAAAGCATGTCTACAAATAATTAAATTTAACATCAATTATGTATATGTGTATATGTGTATATATAGACGAATATGTAAAAAACAAATGTCTAAACAATTTGTTTAAAGTAACTAAAATATTATAAGGCTAATTTAATAAACACCTCCGATCAAAAAACAGGAAAAAAATAAATAAATATCTACACATTAAACCAGATATAATATTTCGACATTTCTGCCTAAAAAGAGTTTAAATGAAAAGAAAAACAAATCAACACAATATCTATTATTTTATTAACCTAAAAATAGGAAAAAGGGAAACATAACAAACACCATCGCATGTATTATTTTGTTAACCTAAAAAAATAAGAAAAATAAAAATATCACAAAAACCAGTGCCGGATTTTTTTTTAACACTATATAACTATTTATTTAATGATTTTAGCGAGTATTTAATGATTTTAAAAGGAAAATAATGATTTTGGCGGATATCTAATGACTTGGAGGGAAAATAATGATTTTGGCGGGAAATCATAAAAAGGTTATTCTTTTAATATAATGATAGATTTATAAGATATACTCCACTCATACTTTTAGGGATGTATTCAATTGTGAACTTAAAAAACATTTTAATAAGATTTTAAGATTTGAGATTTCTTAAGATTTTTAGATTTGAGAAGAAGTCTATGAAATTTTTAATCTGGTCCAGGGATGTCAATAAAATCTGTAAGGTCGGGTTACCCGCGAGTTACCCACATTTTCGAGTCGGGTAAACCCGAGATGATCGGGTTTTGGGTCGGGTTCAGGTAGAATTATGCTACCCGAACTCCGAGTCGGGTTGGGTGCGTGTATAGTAGAAAAACTCGTTACCCGATCCGATTACCCTACTCGTTTACCCACAACCGTTGAATCTTAT